CCTCAGGAATGGTGTCTAGGTAAATGCCAAGCCAAAGAAGCAAGAAATATTTAAATTCCGCCCTCCAGGCAGTTTTTATAGCTGTTGAGAGTAGCTTCTTGTTTAAGAAATGTGGTTTGATTTGTTAAGATTGCCCTTTTCTCCTGAAGTCCACCATAGTTTGGTTACTTATACATTTTTAAAAACATGTAAACACCTTATGCAAATGCAGCTTTTTGCAGTTATCCTTCATTTACCTAGAGAGCATTCTGATGATAGTCAACTATGTAGCAGAACTTCTATATAGCCAGGATAGGCAGAAAACTCCCTGCCTCACTCACATGAGAGCCTCTCCAATTTCCACAGGCTGCCTACTTAGTAGAGATTAATTCGATATTAGGTTTGTGAGTTTACAAAGATGTTGTTTTAACTTTAAAACAATTAGGAACTCTTTCAATCATACAGAAAGTAACATAACCAGATCCCCATGTGTTCATCACCCTGATTTAACAGCTGTTCCGATTTTTGCCAACATAAAGATTTATGAACTATAACTTAAATCTGGTAGGAATAAAAGATAATACAGAATGATGGAGGGAGGGTAAGCACCCTAACCTGAGCAAGAAACTAAAAAAGGAGGTTGAAGAACTCTAAACTAGACCCAGCGACTGAAAAACCTTAACTGCCTGGGCTCATGTGAATCAGAAATAAGCTCCTCTCCTGCCTGCGGCCCCTAAGGGCTTTCTCCTCTGGTAATAGGACAGTATATTTTATTGGTAACCCCAAATCCACAGTAAAAGATTGAATTGTGTTCCATTCATGCTACTGCTGCTGGAGAAGGAAAGCTAGTGTACAACCAATATAAAATCATTTGAGTAAATGTGAAAGGTTTAAAAATCCAGTTTTAACACTTAAAGGGGAAAGATTTTAGTTTTATCACGTTCCTCTGTGATTCCTGTAGTATTTAGAAGAGTAAAAATTCTTCGCTGAACATTTTTTTAGGTAAATATTTTATTGAAGAACCACATACATGCAGAAAAATACCTAAATCATAAGTTATATGTTTTCATAACATGAACACACTCACGTACCTGATCATGAAACAACATCCCAGGCATCCAAGAATTTTCCTGGTAACCATTGTAACTTCTCTCAATCATGACAATTACTCCTGACTTCTAATATCAGAGGTTAGTTTTGACTTTGGAAAAATTTAATATAACAGGATCCAGACTGGGGAGAAAAAGCTCTTGTGATTTATTGTTCATAATTTGCTTTTCAAGCAAACATATTCCAAGTATTCCCTTTTCGTATGTAGATGTTCAAGTTCCCTCATCTAAGATGAGGGCAGTGCCTAGGTGATAGGATGATGATGACGACAATAGTATTAATTTTAAAACACTTATTAAGATTAAGCAAGCTACTTAGCCTCTCTGTTCCTTAGCTTCCTCCTCTATATAATGGTCATGGTAATAGTAATTGTACCTTCCTCACAGAGTTGAGGTTAAGAATTATAATGTAAATGTAAACATGTGGAGCACTTAGCAGGATGCCTCCTATCTAGCAAGGGCTCAGCTGTGTGTGTGTGTGTGTGTGTGTGTGTAATAAATGAGGTTAACCCAGAAGATGGTGAGATGTATTAGATTTTCATATTATCCACATTTTTATTTAACTACTGTCTGATCACACAAATTGCAAAAGGCTCTACTGTGTGGATGAAAGGTCACAAAGTCATTGGGTAAAGAGGCATTTGCTTTCCTTGATAACTTGAAAATCATATATGGTGTGCCACTGAATCAGAGGAGAAAAAGCATAAAGAGGGGAAACCATGTGTTTGAGTTGACTTCATTTTTTTCCCCTAGACTTTGATCAGCATGCAGAAAGTGTTTTATATTCATCTTAAAAATACTTATGGGTCACATACACAAATAAAACTAATGAAATCTGAGTTAGGTCAGTGGATTATATTGACGTCAATTTCGTGGTTGTGATATTGTACTATGGTTATATGTAAGATGTTACCATTGGTAACACCAAATATTACCAGCTATGTGAAGAGTATATGGGCTCTGTCTATATTTCTTTTTTTTTTAAGATTTTATTTATCTATTCATGAGAGACAGAGGGAGAGAGAGAGAGAGAGAGAGAGAAGCAGAGGGAGAAGCAGCCTCCCAAGGAGCAGGGAGCCCGATGTGGGACTCGATCCCAGTACCCTGGGACCATGACCTGAGCCGAAGGCAGACGTTCAACCATCTGAGCCACCCAGGCGCCCAAGTCTATATTATTTCTTAGAATTGCATGTAAATCTACAATTATCTCAAAATAAGAGTTAAAAAAACATGCTTATGGATCTATTTACTTTGAGCCCAGGGCTGTCCTAGGCTCAGGTACAAGGAAAAACAGAAAAACGCATTCCTGCCCTCAGAGAGGATAAAGTAGGGATGAGAACGGACTTTGAACTAGCTCTTAAAAAAGGACAGGGCCACCTGGGTGGCTCAGTGGGTTAACCATCTGCCTTCGGCTCAGGTCATGATCTCAGAGTCCTGGGATCAAGTTTCGAGTTTTGGGAGTCTGCTTCTCCCTCTCCCTCCGCCCCTCCCCCCTGCTCATGCGCGCTCTCTCTCTCTCTCTCTCTCTCTCTCAAATAAATAAATACAGTCTTAAAAAAAAGTTCCAGTTGACTCTGGAACAGCATGGGTTAGAACCATAGTACAGGTCCACATACAGGTGGATGTTTTTTGATAAACACACTCTACTGTAAATGTTTTTCCTTATGATTTTCTCAACATTTTCTTTTCTCTAGCTTATTTCATTCTAAGAATACCGTATATAATACATATAACATACAAAATATGTGTTAATCAACTGTTTATGTTATGGGTAAGGTTTCCAGTCAACAGTAGGCTATTAGTAATTAAATTTTGGAGGAGTCAAAAGTTATATGCAGATTTTCAACTGTGTGTAGGTCATTACCCCTAACTTTGCTCAATGGTCAAGTGGCAGAACCTTGTTTAAGGATCAACTGGTCTACCTGGTTGCACTAAATGGCTTGAAAAGATTCACCGAATATAGAAATGATTATCCGAAAAGTCTCTGTGTCCTCAAGGAAATATAACCAATCAACATTTATAAGACATCCATATATGCACTAAAATTAGTAAGGAGCAATCCTTCACACTTTGGATTAGCTGAAAAGAATGCTATCTTAATAGTGAAGGCTGTCAGGTGTTGTGGAATAGAACCAAAGGACAGGAAAGTTGGCATCTTGTGCTGAAAGCTTTAAAGAGGCTGAATTCACATCTGTCTTTGTAGGTTTATATGTGTTTCTGCCTGAGAATAGATTAGATAATCTCATACATTTTTGTGATCCTATGAAGTTCTATACTTTCAAATTATAAATGTCTTTAGTGGGAATGTGCTTCTTTTTTTCTTACTGGAACTAAGCAATATACAGGATACACTGCTGACATAATGGAATCCATCTTCCAAGGAAATATTCTTCAAACTTTTTCAACCTGCCATACATTTTCGGATCTCTAAATTTTCCCTGACATGGACCAGAGGGGTGGGAATGAGGGTGGGTAGCGGCAGGATATTGTCTTCAGAACAAAAATTAATTGCATGCTGGTTAAGGTGACCATATAATCTGTTGCTTAAACCAGGACAATTAAAAAAAATGCTTTCAAAAATGTTTTTGTGGAAGTTTAATCTACATGCAAAAAAGTGTACATATAATGTATAGCTTGATGAATCTTCCCTCAGTGAATATTTATACAACCAGCACCCAGACTGAGAAACAGAATATTAGCAGGAAGCTAGAAATCTCTTTATGTTCCTTTCCAGTTACTATACTTTTTCCTTACAAGGGTAACAACTATCCTGACTTTTCTTAATGCAAAGATGAGTTTTGCTTGTTTTTATACTTTGTATAAATTGAATCCATACAGCATATACTTGTTTATGTCTTGTTTCTTGGCATGGACGTTATAGGTTGATCCATATCATTGGGTGAAGTTCTAGTTATAGATTATTCGTTCTCTTTGTTGTATATTATTCTATGCTGTGAATATATCACAATTTATTTATTCATTCTATTAATGATGGGCATTTGGGGAGTTTCTAGTTTTTGGCCACTACAAATGGTGCTGCTAATAATATTCTAGTGTATGTCTTTTGGTGAACATATGTACATATTCCTTTGGAGCATATACCCAGGAGTAGAATTGCTGGATCATAAGTTGCACATAAGTTTAGCTTGAATAAATGCTGCTGGTTTTCCAGAGTGTTTGTTCTCATTTACTCTCCTATTGTAGAACGTGAGAGCTCTGATTGCTTTAAATCCTCCCCAATACTTGGCATTTTTCATGTTTAGCCATTCAGATATATGGTAGACATATTCTCATTTGATTTTAATTTGCATTTCTCTGTTGACTAATGAAGTTGATATTTTGCTTATGTTTCTCTCTCTATTTTTGGATACACTTTTTGGTAAAATACTGGGATATATTCTTTTGTCTATTTAAATCTTGGTGCATATTTTTCTATTCCTTAGTCTGTCTTTTCTTATCAAACTAAGACACACAAAAAACAGGTCATAAGATTAATAATTTAGTTTTGGATTTGCTGAGCATGAGATATACAGAGGCATCTATATAGCGATGTCAAGAAGTTGTTGAATCATATGGGTCTGGAGTTCAGAAGAAAGTTCTGGTCTGGAGATATGAATTTTGGAGTCCCTGCCATGTAGGTGACATCTCAGTGGAAGAGTGAATGAGGTCACCCACAGAGGAAAAGTCTTAGAACTGAGGCTGAGAGCTACCAGGGTTTGTTCATAAGTTGGGAGTAATAAAGATGCTGGCAAAGGAGCCCAAGAATGAACTCGTGAGAGGCAGGGAAGAGGGGAGAAGCAGAAGCCAAGTGAAAGGGGTTTCATGGAAGAGGGAGTGTTTGGTGCGTCAAAGTGTTCAACTTGTGTTGATTAAAAATAACACCACATGCTGTCCACTTTCGTCTCTTTCTAGCCATCATTGTATACAGACTGCCATGGACCTGGAAATGCAGCAAGCTCCTGATGAAGTCCATCCATGCAGGGTTACACACCGTTGCTGCCATTCTCGTAATTATCGCTCTGGTGTCCGTTTTTGATTTCCACAATGCCTTGAGTATCCCCAACATGTACAGTCTACACAGCTGGGTCGGGCTGACGGTTGTCATACTCTACATCTTACAGGTCAGTGTCTCGGTGTATTTATAAACACATTATAAAAAGTAAAACAGTTCAGATACCGTAGATGTTTTCTATACATTCATATTTCTTGGAAATCATCTTCTCATTCCCCTACCCGGCTCTGCTCCATTTTGTTTCCATTGTCGGTATTGTTCCCTGAGGGGCCACCAGAACTGCAGAATTCACAGTCTTTAAGCTTGAGTGTGAGATTTTAGATAGGGACAGATCTGTGTAGGGAAACTGCCATGTGCAGTTCCATGTGCTAAATAAACAAGCATAGGCAAGAGCTGCAGATTTTTTCCCCATATTCTCTATCACTGCTTTTTTCTAACTTTATGAATAAAAACATGAATTTTACTTCTTTGTTAGATTTTGAAGGCTCAGTGGTTAGTTTAGTTTTCCCCTTTCCTCACTTAGTAAAAACACATACTTTTGGGATCACCGTATTTAAACATAAGCTAATGGAGTGTGATAGGGATTTGGCTGTTCTAGGTCACTGAAGTAAAAGGTTAATTTTAAAGGTCTTTTTGGTGTTAACCACTTCGGTGAAAAATCTTTGTCAACTATGTCAATTCATTTTCCTTGCTTAGTACAGTATATATCCAGCTACCTAATTGGGATATCAATGTAAACTTTAGTTTTCTGTGAATATAGGAGAAGAAACTGGAGTGAATCCATAAAATCCCAAGGCGCATTTTTTTTTAAGATTTATTTATTTATTTGAGAGAGGGAGCGCACGCGAGCATGGGGGGGAGGGCAGAATAAAAGGGAAATTCTTAAGCAGACTCCATGCTGAGCACAGAGCTCGACGTGGGGCTCGATCTCACGACCCTGAGATCATGACCTGAGCCGAAACCAAGAGTCTGACTCTCAGCTGACTGCGCCACCCAGGCACCACCCCCAACAAGGCATATCTTAAAATATATGAATGTATGACCTTTTAGAAAAAGACCTCTTACCAGGTATCTGTCATTTTTCTTTTTAAAGAAAGGCTTTTAAAGCCTTAAGTCTTCTTGAATTTTAATTAAATAAAAGTTAATGTATGTATGGACACTATTTGATTATTTAAGTTTGCATTACCATGACTGGCGGTAGGGATTAGAGACCAGACAGGATGGGAGCACAGAGAAAACCCTGAATCAAACATGATCTTACTGATAAGAAGGAACAAGAAAAATATCTCAAATTGGATAGCTGAGCCTAGCTCAGACCTCCCGTCCTCAAGGCTGATTTTCCCTCAGTGTTCTCGTCTGGGAGGCAGCTTTTATCCGCCAGCAGGTGGTGGGTCCTCCCAGAGAGTAGGATGGCAAGAGCAGAGGCCACTGAGGATGCTGCCTGTTGCTTTGGGGACCCCCTTGGCTTCCTTCCTGGCATCTCTTCAGAACTTTTCTCCGCTCCGTGTTCTGCTTTCAGCGGTCCGTTCCCCTCACTTTGTCTCACTTCCTCTGCACCACTTCAGGATGTGGAATACAGGAGAGGGAGCACTGTGTGAAGCATTCTGCTTATCTCCCCTAATCCTTCATGGGAGATGGCCTTTGCTGGTGCTGAGGATGTGCAAGTTACACAGCCAGAGGCAGAGCTGGGACTCAGGCCCAAGTCCGGGGCCCTCTCCACAAGCACTTAGTTCTGCTGTTCCCACGATGTCCCCATGATCACTCAGCTAGCCTTTGAGCATCCTCAGCTGGAGGGTGTATCTCTGAGGAACAGAATGGAAACCACCCAAAAGCTATGTAGCTTTCCTGTGAGAGGGTTCTGTGGTTCTGAGTGCAGTAATTAAAACGGACTAGATAAAATACTGTTACTGAGTCATGTGATTATATAGAGCTGTCCAGATAATCCAAGATTATCTCCCAATCATAAGATCCATAAACTAATTACATTTACAAAGTGTCTTTTGCCATGTAACATAACATATTCATAGCTTTCAGGGATTAGGGTGTGAATATCTTTGCAGGTGTGGGGGCAGCATGATTCAGCCTCCCACAACTATGAATAAAAAATAGAAGAAATTGTAAGTGAAATGAAAATCTGGTTCTTTAAAAAAATAATAAAATAGATAAACCATTGCAAACCTGATTGAGAAAAAACAAAATATACAACCTTCGAATAAGAAAGAAAGATAATCATAGATACAAAAAGTATTTTGAAATTAGGACAGATTATGAAATTTTAATATACAGTAATATGCTTAAAAATCTTAAAGAAAGAAAAAAGGACTATTTTCTTGCCAAATATAAACTACCAGATTTGATCCAAGAGGAATTAGAAAACCTAAACTGGCCAATAATATTAAACGAAACTGGTAAGGTTATTTGAAATCTATCACTAAAAAAGGCATTGGGTCCTTACTGTTTTATACCTTTGACCTTCTAGGAACAGGTACTTTCAACTATTCCAGTACACCGAGAGAAAACAAACTCTTCTTAGATGTGGCCCCATTGTGCATTACATACTCCTACACCTAAGATGGTGGCTCCGATGACAAACACATTTACTAACATCCAACAGCAAACACCAATTTAAACTGTGAAATACTGAAGACATTTCTGTTAAATTAATAAGATATTGGTGCTTCCTTCCTTTGTAATTCAACTTTATTTTAGAGGTTTTAGCTACAAGATAATGAAAAAAATCTGCATAAATAATAGAGAATTTGTGACTTTTTGGTTTGCAGATCATGTAATGTATGTCTAGTAACCCAAGAGATGGCTAGAGTAGTAAGAGCATTTGGAAAGGTGGCTGGATATAAGATCGCCATTCATAATTCAAGAACTTTTGCCTAAACTGGAAATAACCACCTAGAATAAGAAGTAGAATTCATTTATAATATGGATATAAAATTATAAAATACCTAGGAATAAATTGAACAATGAGGGTGTAAAACCTATATGTAGAATATGTAAGATACGGGGGCGCCTGGGTGCCTCAGATGGTTAAGTGTCTGCCTTCGGGGTCCTGGGATCGAGTCCTGCATCAGGCTCCCTGCTCAGCAGGGAGTCTGCTTCTCCCTCTCTCTCTGCCCCTCCCCCTTGCTTGTGCTCTCTCTCTCTCTCTCTCAAATGAATAAATAAAATCTTTTTTTAAATTTTTTATTGTTATGTTAATCACCATACATTACATCATTAGTTTTTGATGTAGTGTTCCATGATTCATTGTTTGTGTATAACACCCAGTGCTCCACGCAGAATGGGCCCTCTTTAATACCCATCACCAGGCTAGCCCATCCCCCCACCCCCCTCCCCTCTAGAACCCTCAGTTTGTTTCTCAGAGTCCATCGTCTCTCATGGTTCATCTCCCCCTCCAACTTACTCCCCTTCATTCTTCCTCTCCTGCTATCTTTTTTTTTTCTTAACATATATTGCATTATTTGTTTCAGAAGTACAGATCTGTGATTCAACAGTCTTGCACAATTCACAGCACTCACCATAGCACATACCCTCCCTGAATAAATAAAATCTTAAAAAAGAAAAAAAAAGAACACGTAAAAGACTATAAAATCTTATTGAGAAAACATGGTATAATTAGAGAGATACCATGTTACTAAAAGAGAAAAATTAATATAGAAATATCTTTCCCTCTTCAACCATATTTATTTTTAATATAATTCTAATTTTAAGCTTGATGGGAGTCTTAAACTTGCACAGTAAATATCCAAGGATAATCAAAACATTTTGAAAAAGAAGCGAAGGGAGACCTGCCTTATTCAAAACAAGTTATTAAAACAAAAGTAAACAAATTATAGCCATGGAAAGAACAGAGAGGACAGAAACAGTCCAAGTATGTACGAGAACTTTTTCTATGACACTATGGTATTTCAATTTAGTGGAGAAAGAATTTTGCTTATTTAATAAATGCTACCATCATAATGGGTTATCCATTTGGAAGAAACCAAATAAATAAGCAAAAGGACTCTGTATATAACACAAAAGAAAAAAGATTCCAGATAGATTAACATTCTAAATATTAAAAAAACAAAGCCAATGAAAAGAGAAAAAGAAAACTAAGAAGCATATAATCTGTATAATCTGAGGTTGGGGAGTCCATAGGGTTGACAAGAAATCACAAGTCATAAAGGAAAAGAAAGACATGTTTGATTACATAAAAATTTTTTAAAAATTATATGGGGCAAATATACCAAAGTCAACAGAAACTGCACCAAGGGATATGGGGAATAATCATGTCATGTGTTAAGGGTTAATGCATTTAATATATAAAACAACTCCTTTTTTTTTAAAGATTTTTTATTTATTTGTCAGAGAGAGAGAGAGAGCACAAGCAGGGGGAGTGGCAGGCGGAGGGAGAAGCAGGCTTCCTGCTGAGCAAGGAGCCCGATGTGGGACTCAATCCGAGGACCCTGGGATCATGATCTGAGCCGAATGCTCAATCGACTGAGCCACCCAGGTGTCCCTAATATATAAAACAACTCCTAAAATTAGTGATAAAAAGGCAACCTCACAGAAAAATAAACAGAAAATTTGAATAGGCATGTCAAAGAAGAAAAACTTAAATCACCAATAAGCATATGATAAAATGTCCAACCTCACTAAGAAGTTAGGAAAATGTGAGGACAACAATAAAATGTCATTTTTCCCCACAAGACTATCACAACAACAGTGGTGATGTTCCTTGCTGCCAAGGGTGTGAGGTAAAGGGTGCTTTCCACTTCTGCTTTTCCACTGCTGGTAGGAAATGCACTGTTAACAAATTTTAGGGAAGTAGTTTGTTACTATCTACTAAAGTTGTTTTTTAAATATCGTTACCCTTAACCTAGCAATCCCACATTCAGAGAGAGCGGAAGTAAAATAACTGTAACATAAGGAACTCGAAAAAGGATTTTTTAGTGCGGCACTGTTTGTGTGGGCAGGAAACGGGAAGCAACCTAAATGCCCATCAATAGGGAATGGTTAAATAATCTGTGGTAAATCGATGGTGGATATTATAAAGGTATTACAAGGAATGTAGCTCTGTCTACTGACCAAGAGTGAAATCATGATATGCTCTTC